CTTTAGAAGGGTCCTTGCTAGATGATCCGATAGATAGGTCATTATTATCAGAGCAAGAAGCCAATAATTTGGCTATGTGAACTGAAGCAGATCCCATGACTCTAGTATATCGGGACTGTCTCTTTAGTAAGGAAGTATTCTATGCCAAGAATACGGGTATCCGGTCAAGGGATCATATATTATCTTTGGTTGAATCAGAAAAGAAAGCTCTATGCCCTATAGATACTAAGCACTGGATCCTATCAGATAGGATCACCTCTTTGCCATATTTTCATTGGCATAATAAAGCTTATAATAATATGGTCAAGGCTGGTATACCCCAAGAAGAGGCAGAAAAAAGAGCTATAAGGACTAAGCTCCCAGAGAAGTATCAAAACAAATATATATCTCACATATCTAGCTCATTGCCATAAACTAGACTAGTGATATGATATATAGCAGGCTATATACCAACATGAAACATTCTTTAAGAATTATATAAGCTCAAAAATTTTTTTATTCAAAAAATTTAACTAAATGCTGATCCAATTTGACGAGCCTGGACACCGTGTCCAGACTCTACCCAATATGGATACTGCACCACATACTGCACCCTAGTGACATGGTGTCCCACCTCGGCAATTAGTTTTTTTAAAATATATTTAATATCTATATATAATAATAAAAATGGCACATAAAATACATAAGCACCAAGCAAGACTAAGTGAATATTATTCCCAGCATAAAAAGCTAAAAAAGATAGTAAAATCATTAGAAGAGACTATAGACTGGATAGAAAATTATATAGAAGAGCAAACTGGTCTTGAGTTTGGCAAAAAACTATTAGATTCAGATTCAGATTCAGATTCAGATTTTGTTCTGCATTTCCGTGATTTCCAATTAAGAGCTAAAAAAAAAAAGGATAAAGGAGCAAGCTTAAAATAATAAATACCATCTGCTTTCTTGTAAAGCCTTACCTGCTTTTTTCTTATAAATTCGAAAAAAGATATATTCAGATTACCTATATATCTGGGTTCGAGCGATTTCATCACTCGAAGATGCTGAAGCTCTTTCTCTTACTCTAAATACTTAGTTAGCAACTTCTCACTAAGATCATTAATTTCGGCCTTAAATCTAAGTGCAGAATATAATTTTCCTTTAAGCTCTTGCTCTGTTTTTTTCGCAAACTCAGCCCCTTGATCTCTTTTTTTTCTTATTTCATCCTTTTTCAAATAAATTTGAAAAAAGATATATTTGGCCGGCTGAAATATCTGGCTTCGAGCGATGAAATTGCGAGAAGGCAGGGTCATTTTCACTTTTTTTGTTTTTTCGAGCTTGCGAGAAAAAATAAGATCTGTGGGGCAAAATACATTTTAAAAAGGTATAGTAAAAAATATATTTGGAATAATATATATTTCTGGTTTATCCGGAACCTCCTATTTATCCTATATGTCCTATTTCCAGAATCTTTTTTTCTAGTATATATTATATTTATCCAGTATATCCGATATATCCAGTATATCCGGTATAACTGGTATAATATATTTTTCTTGTATATCTTATTTAATAAATTATTTCGAAATAATATATTAGCTATAAAAAAAAATATTACTACCATGCTTAGAAACGAATGAGATGTGATGCTCCTTCTTTATCTCTAGCCGATTATGATTTTATTATACAATGCTGTAATAATAGACCAAGGTCTAAAGTTTTAAATGAGCTAAAAGAAAAATATGGCATATCACAAAAACGTATTTATCAAATCTAGAGAGGCAGGAAAAAAATAGGGTTGCATGGGATCAACCAATTTTGACTTTCAAAAAAAGAAAAAATTTTCTATCTGAACCGGCTCATAATTTATCACAAGAAGTCAGCGAGCCGGTTCAAAAATATAATTTGAAAAAAAATATTAGCCAAGAAGATCTAATTGCATTTTACGAAAAAGAAGCTATTCGAGATAAAAAAAATATAGCCAAATTAAAATATATACTAGCTAAGTAAATGATCTAGCTCATCGTAGAATAATAAAAACTTTTTACATTCCTTATTGAGAACTTCTTTAGCATTGAGAGTATCAAATAACTTTTTTTCAAGTTCGTCATAACTCATAGGTTTTTTTTTTTCAAAGTCAGATTGATTTCTGGCCCACCTTCCTTAACATAAGTTAAGACCGGCTCAGCTAGAATTGATTTGTTACCCAAATTTTCTCTTTTCGAACTGCCTTCACGTGATAAATCACTCGAAGTCAGATAAATTGGGGATCCAGATAAATCAGTAACCCAGTTATTTCTTTTTTCGAGCTTGTGAGAAAAAAGAAAAGGAAAAGAGCAGGACTTATGAACTGAAAGAGATATAGTAATTACCTTATCTTTATGCATTAATTTGAATTTACGCTTAATAATAGGCTCCCATCCTGCTCGATCAAGCCAAGATGTACCCAATAATATCCAGGGCTTATCATTATCTATGACCGAAAAGTCTTCAGAGATTGTACAACTATTTTCTTCCTGACCGAAATATTATCCCTTAAATTGTAACACAGGCAAATTTGCCTGTGTTTTTATTAAAAAGTTTAATTTTTTTAATAAAAA